GAACTGTTAGATATGAAAAATGTATTTTCTTCTAAATTGGGAACTGTCAGATATGAATGAGAGTGTCTATATTAAAGAAAATTTACAACCATACCAACAGCCCTACTTTGAGTACTCCTATTCGTAGAAGCCGAGATGAACATTGGATTGGATACGCACATTAGGACTTCGAATTTTGTCTAATGGTTTGGATTGCACGTAATTGGTTTTATTTTATTATCTTAAAAATCGTTGACAATCATTAAGGAGGCCTCAACTGTTTTCTTTGTGAAGCTAATACATATATAACAATACAAAACGATTGGCTTATATATATATAAATCTTTTACAATGTTTTTTAATGTGTTTCTCAATCACTAAATGGCACTTAACGATTACATTTACTGCCACAGGCTGACGTCTGCTTACTCCTTTGTGTATCAAAGAAATTGATTTTACAGTATCCCTACGTACCAAAGGGCGTGATTTATTTATCGTAGTGATGCAAAGGAATTGTGCACTCCAGATCCTGGATTGACGTCAAAGCAAACTATTTATTTTCTCAACAGCAAGAATTCACGATGAGAACGGAGCATTATGCACACGATATTTGTATTCGCGGCTAAAGAGAACATAAAGACCACGATGTCGATGTATAGATTTGTTCTGGTTATGTGTTTTATTTCATTATTAACAGCTTGCCCCCGATTTAAACGATGGTGGAAACATTCAACTTGTCCAAGTAAAACTTTACCTAGAGGAGAGGCCTATAATTCGTTTAATGCCTCAAATAAGTTTGTGTGTACTGTGAGAAGTAATGGCGTTGATTGCATGTCGGTATCATTTGATGTTGTCACTAAGACATGTTACCAGTTTGATAAAATTGGCGATGATGTTGGATGTAGCGATATGGTGGATGAGCCCAACACAATATACTATTATAAGGTAAAGTTAACGACGTTGCCAATCTTAACGTAGACGTATTAACGGTAACTAAATTAAATATTTTAGGAGTATTGATATTTCCTTTTTACAAAAGCATTCAAGAATATAGTTTTATTACCTGTATTCAGCATTTAAGGTCTTAATTTTCAACTTATATTATGAGAAATAATCATCAAATTTCATATTAATATTGGCATGTGTCAAATAATTTGTAATTAAAGTAGCTAAGTCTCTAACTCAATATCATACAAAACCTTCGGCATTAAAAACACGAATTAGTTGTCAATTTTAATCAACATCGGTGTTGTGATCTTACCGGGAAATGATGGGCATCTGATATCCAATATTTAAGACAAAATAAACATTTTACGATTGGTACACGAATCGTGTACCATAATGCGTTTCAGCACAATTTGTAACAAGCGACTCGGAAGAACGAGGTTAAATATATTCCACAAGTCATGTCAAAGTCTTATATGGAGAGCATGCACAATAAATACTATCGGTGTAGACTGGAATAACCAGACGCTAGAGATTGCCATTCGATTGAGACTTCTGGCGTATTTTGCCGAACAGAACTGCTTTGAAATTAGAGTAAAAACGGAAACGACTGAATGTAAATCAGTTTATTTACATTCATATTACATTATTATATACATATACGTTGGGACCCATATGTGCCAATTTGTAGGTCCCAAATATTAGTGATTTGGCTCCTTTAAATAATCGTAATTTGAAATTGTCTGAAATATTCAAACTTTATTTATACAGTTAATGTATTAAGGTATCTAAATCTTAATCTCATTCCATTACATAGAAATTTAACCAGTTTATTGCAAGCGGTGAAATTCATTAACTCTATAAACTTGTTATTCATATCAAACTGGTATCATTTTGGGAATAATTCTAGTCTCAAATGATCATATAATGGACAGACAACTAGAAAATAAATTTCATCTTCAACATATTTCCTATACGCGCACACTGAAATGTGGTCGTATATTGCTGTCGCCCCTGTCCACCCATCCACTTTAAATGTATACACAGTGCTGAAAGTTATGCGACGAATAATCCAATTAATTTGCCACGATTTCCGAAAATTACCGCTAGAGTTTGGAAACCAAAGTGTCTTGAAGTTGATACCTCCTTAATGATTGTCAACGATTTTGAAGATAATAAAATAAAACCAATTACGAGCAATCCAAACCATTATACAAAATTCGAAGTCCTAATGTGCGTATCCAATCCAATGTTCATCTCGGCTTCTACGAAAAGGAGTACTCAAAGTAGGGCTGTTGGTATGGTTGTAAATTTTCTTTAATATAGACACTCTCATTCGTATCTAACAGTTCCCGATTTAGAAGAAAAGACATTTTTTCATATCTAACAGTTCCCGACTTAGAAGAAAAGACATTGTGAATAATGTCTTTTAACCGAGCCTTTAATTTACCACGGGGAATTTTAGTGTACAAGGTACAAAAGTCAAACGTGTGTATAGATCAGACTGAAGCAAGTGATCTAGATTACAAATCATCAAGTAATTCTTTGGAATTTTTTAATATCCGCATCTGATTAATACCACTTTGAGACTATATTTTGTCACAGTATGTTTAAATACCCTCTTTAACTGCCGTTAGTGTAGATGTCAATACTTCTGAAAGTGATGTTGTGGATATCCTGCTATAAAACGTTGTTTGTAGTGTTTTTTTTCATGCAGTTGATTTCCCTAAACCAAGTTTTTTTGAAGAGACATTCATAATAATATCGTTTACATATACACTGTTATTGGACGCTTTGTCAGTCGGGATGACATACTTGTCATGTAAGGCGTTGAAATTTTCAACTGATTTTTTGCCCCCCCCCCCCGTTTGATGCTTCGTACCACCAGTGGATGTACGCATCCTGGTTAAGAACCACTGGCTTAGGCTAAGCATGAATCTTATAATACATAAGGTCCATCATGTTCCTGAAGCAACGACCGCGAGTTTTACAACGTCTAGCTTGATAAGATGTACGTAGTTAAAGGACAATATTGGTGCCAGTCATTATCACATATGTGATAGAGCTGGTTAAACACATTCCAAATATAATTTTAACACAGAGATCATTGCTGCGATAGCTGAGTAATACAGGTTTCCAGAATAGGAAGTGACGAAAGCCAAAGGAAAACACAATCATCTCTCTATATAACTGACTGATGTGGCGAGTGATAACGGATATACGGGCGAATTTCTGCTCACTAATAATTCATTCGAAGACCAAAAGTTGTTGTATGAGATTGTGAGAGGATATCTGACAATTCATAAAAAGAATTGACTGCCACTAGATAAGTGAACACGAAACAAAAACAGAAAAAGTCCGTGCATTACCATGTTTTTATAAGATATAGAATGAATATAAACAAGGGAATGTACGGACTATTTCTATTTTTCTCGTGTTCTCTTATCTAATGACATTCAGTTACTTTATTGAATTGTCAGGTATCCTCTTACAGTCCCATATATCAACTTTTGGTCTTCGAAGGAATTATTAGTGAGCAGACATTCGGCCGTATATCATGTATATCACTCATCACATCAGTCAGTTATATAGAGAGATGACTCGTGTTTTCCTTTGGCGTTCGTCGCTTCCGACTCAGGAAACCTGTATTACTCAGCTATCGTAGCAATGATCTCTGTGTTAAAATTATATTTGGAATGTGTTTAACCAACTATATCACTTATGTGATAATGACTGGCACCAATATTGCCCTTTAAGGCGAGATCAAGCCATCTATTGAAATGAAGGTCCATGGGCTAAGCAATTGTATGCGCCCATACTTAGGAACACTATCATTTGGATTCTAATCACCCATCATCTAGCTAGGCATTTTCGATTTCAAGTAAGTCAATTGATTGTGCAAAATAAGTGTCATCTGCTTTTGGAGATAAAGGCAGAGGTGGGGGGTGCAAAATAAGTGTCATCTGTTTTGGGACATAAAGGGTGGGGGTCAGCCTCATTGTTAGCTTGTTTTTTTTATTATTTTGTTTTTTGTTTTGTTTTTTTATTTAAATGAAGTCGTAAGTATTGTCAAGGCAACATTAAATGCCGCTTTAGAATAGTTACGGGCTCGTATTTTCGGGATTAACTTTGCGAGGTTTTAGATTGTGCCCCATAATGGGGAGTATCGTATTAAGATGTCCTCCAGGGACCGGTTGTTCAAAGCTCCGTTAAATTGTAACGACTCGTTAACATGGAGTTAATGGATCGTTATCTTTAACAGAGAGAAAAACTGCTGCTTTTTGAAGCCCCGTTAACTTTAACACTTCTTTAACTTGCCGTTATATTTAACGGAGGTGTTGGTCTCCGTTATCTGTTTAACGATGACAGTAGTCAGCTGTCAGTCGAAGTATACCCCGAACAAAAAGTCATGGATTACCAGTGTAATTAAGAAGGGTTGGGCGATGTAGGGGGGGGGGGGGGGTATTCCATTTTCTAAGGATGAATTTCTATAGTATTCTACAGACTACAGAATTTTGGAAGCCTGTAGGAAATAATGGACCAAAATATTCTACAGTTTCTTTAGTGCAAACCCCATAATTTTTCCTACAGGTTTAGGCTTAAATTTCTAAAGGAAAAGGTAAAGTATTCTATAGATTTTTAAAGTGTTTTCTCTAGTAAATTATACAGTTATCTTTTTGTCTTCAGTTTCTTGTTAATGCTAAAATCTATAAAGTTGTTTACATGTACATTAATTTTTAAAATTTAAAATTCAGTCATTGAACAAACAGTCTTATCTTGCATTAATTTTAATCAGTCCATTAGGTAATGGATAATGAAATTGACATTCCAGCAACAGAAATTTAACAAACCGTTAGCAAAATAACGATCCGTTAGAGTTTAACGGATCGTTAAAATAACTTAGCTTTGAGCAACCTGGCCCAGGTTGTATGATAGCATATATTCATGACTTTTTGTAATGGCAATATACAAGTATGTTTTGTAAATATTGTTTTGTTTTGGGGGTTTTTCTCACAAATCCTGTTATATTTAATTCGGGATTAGGAGAATAATTTTGAAATTACAGGATATCGAATGTTTTAATGGCGGTGTTCAAAATACATCTACATCTTGTATCTGTACAGAGTTAACATATGGTGTTAATTGTGGTTCATTTAAAGCAAGTAAGTAACTCTGTGTTTTCATTAATTGACAAAAATCTATATCTATTTATTTACTGTAATGTGGATTAATACCGCGCTGATTTGTATTTTGCGGACAATATATTCCCGTGAAAAATGGCCGCCATCTTGGGAAAATGCAATATAGGTGAACATGTGATCATTTAAACAGTTGTAAATGCCAGAAATGGAATCTGGTCTATGAAAACATATATATTGACACCGAACATGACACTTAACTAAAATCAGCACATCGTCCGATTTCCTCGCCAAAAATGGACGCCATCTTGAAAATATCTTTGTAAAAGTGATGTAAAGAATCTGATATAGTCATGCAAATATTAATACAGTGCCAAATCACGGCTTATATATCTTTAACATTATAAATAAATTGAAATATTATCGCAAAAAGGCTATCCTTCAAAACATGACGTCCCATACTATGAAGACATACTGAGAAAAAATGTCAACATTGGTTTTTTGCTACTAAACGTCGAAACAAACCGAATTGGAAAAATAGTAAAAATCCCCTGCATGACGAAATGTATAATTTGATGAGCTTAATCGTCTATACAGTACCATCTATATAAATTAATTCACAAAGTGTGAATTTGCATTACCGTTTTTGATATGTAGTTATTATTTATTCTACCACACCATCATTAGAACCAAGTAATCTTACTCGGTTCCTTTTTTCGTCTACGAAAGTAACTTTGATATGCTTGGGTAGTTATTATTTATTCCTCCACACCATCATCAGAGAGAGAGAGAGAGAGAAATGGGGTTTAACGTCCACTCGACACAAACTAGGTCATTTCGGGACTAACATGTGGTTTAATTTTATTTACATAATTCGCTTGCGCGTAGGGGTCTTTAGCAGTGGGAGGAAACCGGAGGTTGGACAGGCGACCCGACTCCTTGTCACGTACAACCGGGGATTTGAAACCACGCCAGTCGACTCAATGACAGACTTTATGATACAGCAAGCGGAATTTCCCCATCAATATCACTGTGATAAGTTGCGTCAAAGTAGTTTTAGAGTTTTGGCAGATTTTTGCGTCGCGTACGTATGTGTCGATGAGCTGAGCTTAGTTCTATTACAGCAAGATGGCAGATATCTACCAAGATCACCATCAGTACTACTAGTCAAGTGCCTAGCCGACAATTTTGCAGAGGGAGTGAAGTCGCTCGACAGTCGATGAGCTATTAAAAAAAAATAATGTCGAAATCCTATTAAAAATCTTCGACTTCGACTCGACTGTAATTTTTGGTTTCACTCATGTATCATTTCAGGAAGTTTATACCCCTTTACCACAGAATAAAATCATCTTCAGATTTGCAAGGTTCCGCCTCCCTAAATTTAGAACGTAGATCAACCATCGTGGTTAAAATCACACCAAATATACACCTTCGTGTTCTAGAATACACAAAAATTCATAAAAACGCTATGATATAACATTTCAGCGTCTAAAAGTAGCAAAAATGTCGACAATGTTATACGGACCTTTTCCGTATGAAAGCTGTCCGATATGTATCCGTGTGCCGCATCACGTATGAGAAATACACACACACTAATGACGTCACACGCAAAATCCATAGGGATACGCGATACGGACCAGTAAAGAACGCTTGCCATTAAACGTCATATAATTTGTCTGCTTCCTGATACTTACACGTTATTTCATGTGTATTCATGTTTATATTTCAGGGTGTGAGATGGATCCATACGTCGTTGACCACGCTGTTTTAATGATGCCGATTACTGGAAGGAATGTTTCTCTGGAAGGAGATCTAATAACTTATAATTGTAGCATTGGTGGATATCAACCGTTTTCCACGTGCCAATCAAATGGTACCTGGTCACGCCCATCTCAATGCCTCCGTAAGTATTGTTCCCATTACTGACAGGATAATGGTAATTATCCGATAGCATTTCCGAATTTCAGTACTCAGTGAAATGGGCAATATTACACTCATTTAAACCCGTATTTATTAACAATTATATAGAATAATAAATGAATTATATGGATTCAGAAACAAGCTAGAAAGCCTACATTAATCTGTTTGTAAACGGTAAAAGAATTTCATGTTTAATTTGCATAAAAACATAATAATTCACATAATATTAATGATATATGTATAAAGTCGTGTCATCCCGTTATTATAGTCACATTTTCATCATCATCAGAACCGTGATCTCCGACAATATTTTTATTCGGCTGAATAACTTATTAAATGAACTATTTGAAAAATAAGCCGACCTTGTGACTTAGCTGACTACGGATTAGAAATGAAATGGGTTTGACGTCCCACTGCTCTGATCCTACTGAGATAATGAAGACTGACTACGGATTAGACTTGTTATTGTAAAGATATTAGTGACAATATCACAAATATCTAATGCACATTTTGATAATCTATGTTTTCTAAAATGGAGATAATACAAAATTGATAAACTATAACACATACTTATAAAAGTGATGAGAAAAAAGATAATGTGATTATTGTTTTTAATTTTCCTTCCTTAGCTGCAAGTTGTAAAGACATCAAGATCTGCAGCTCCAGCTATACCTCTGATGGTGAATATTGGCTATATCCCCCAGCAGTTGCCCATAAACCTGTTAAAGTCTACTGTCATGGCATGTCTACCACAAACCCAACTGATTTTATTACCCTTTATGGTAATAATATGGCTTATTATCCCAATAAAGAGCAAACGTCATCGTCCTCCTGTACTCCATTTGCGAAGAATAAACCAAACTCTGGTACAACAAGATTCACAAAAGTCAGGATAATATCGTCGGTACGTACCAGATGTCGATACAATTCACTCTAGATTCGTGAATATAAATTACCCAGTTATTGCAACAATGTGACTAGCTATTACGTGGAATTAGCTACATCGCCAAGTGTTCGGTTATTAGGGATTAGAAGAATGCCCGTCTTCGCTCGGGGGTCATAATCCCGAAACCGAAAGTGGTAGACTAACGCCCCCTGGCCTATGTTACTCCCCGGTCCGAGCTACCCCTATACCCCAAATTTCAGACTCGGGGCAGACCTAGTGTAGCCGCCAACCCCGAACAGGCAGACAAACAGACAGACAGACAATTGACAGGCACAAATACTAGTATAAGATTGTATCTATTACAGTAGTTGTATTCCGTAGACTTTTGTTCTGTATACTTCCAGCTCAACCACTCAATACATTTGAAACAATTTGTGGAAATCATGCATTAAGATAAATCTGCTGAAAGATAATTCAAACATTTTCATTTGCTAAACAATCTAAATAAAATGTTCCCGTTAAACATATATATTTTGGTAACACTATAGTGTGATTTCACTGACAAAATTTGATGTTTTTGTAAAATCTATACGGAAACATGTGAAGTGAATATAGCGGTCTGTTTTATAGGCTCAATATTAAAAAAAAAACACTTTAATTTACGATGTCCTGTGAAATCTGGGACTTTTCCTCTAAAACCACCAATCCGAATTCTCGCATCTCACAGCAGCCGACTAGACGAAATTGTCCAACAGAAACTGAACAGATTATACCACAGATACAATACAAAATTGCATAGCCCTTGGTTTTGCTAGGATGAAACACTTATATATTTGAATGGATAATTTTATTAATTTTGCAGATGTTACAAGTTATAGATGACGATTATACCTTCGCTTCTACCACTAATGCAGGTGGTTATTATATATTATTTGGTAATGCTATGGCCTGTAGTTTATACAATTCCTGTCCAGGTCTAGGAACGATGGTAATAGACATCACAAATACTGGACTAGTCTTCAGCGATCAGGTAAACGAGTATTTTCGCTAAAATAGAAACGAATACTAATATATTTTGGTATTTAAAGAAAGCGGCATAACTGAAAATATCATCTTATTAAAAGTATGATCGCCACACAGATTGATTGACATTGCATTAATAGATGAAATAACTACGTAATTCGCGCGTGTCTCTTGGTCGTCATATTGCCCGCTCCCCACACCCAACCCACACACACCCTGCTAATCTATCGTAGGTGCACCACAGTCCGAAATGATATCTGATAAATTTGATTTCCTGCGTGTCTGTTCATCGCCAAATGGACAACATATCTCGCTAATTGAACATTTCAACATCAAATGACAATTTCTAAAGTGAATACGTTAATATAATAGTGTCTGTGTCTATGTAAAGCGCACACGTGCACGTTTAATATTAAAATCTAATCACAGCTTCGTTATTGCAAGGGACGTAACTCCATTTTTAGATTTGAATGGGCCATGTTAGTATCAACACAGCTTCTGACACTAATCTCCATTTTTAGATTTGAATGGGCCATGTTAGTATCAAAACAGCTTCTGACATTAAGAAACACATTTTTCTCTTAGATCATCCATAATAAAAATGAGGTAATGAAATGAGGTTTAACGTCCTACTTTTCTACACCAAGAGGGCGGTATCTGTGATATAGAGATGAGGTTTTGTTTGCATCTTGACATTCGAGTTACGTTTGTCACTTTCTACATTATGTCCCTATGGGGGTCTTTTCCATTGTGAGGTAATCTTTTACCACGTGGCATTCTTTTTTTTTAACGGATTCTTTTCAAATTTGGTGTGAAGCATTGTGGTCATGAGAGGATACAATCTATTCCGGAATTATGCCTACTTAGTCGAAACCCTTTGAGGCTAGATTTTTCAACGGATTTGTTTCAAATTTGGTGTGAAGCATAGTGGTCTTGAGATGACGAACCCAATCGATATCCAGCGTTCCGCGACTTTCTGTTCTGCCCTCTTAGCTGCAGTTGTAAACGAAATATTTTCCAATTTAGATGGACCCTACACATATATGGTGTTCCGCAGGTATGAAATGAAATGAAATGAAATGTGGTTTTATGGCACGTCAGCACCCACCGGGCTATATTGCGCCAAACATATGGTGATTTATGCGAGACAAGTTAAATAAATATCACAGAAATAGTATTATATGCATAAATAAAAACAATATCACAGTAAATGGCTGCTGTGTGGGCGTATCTTTTAAAATACTACATTACAGATCTCCTGGAAACCGAGTGGATGGGCGAGTAAGATTGATCACGTGACACGAATTAATAATCAAGTTATAGAAGGACGTTGTGATGGATATTGCGGTGGCTGTATGCCTGTATCACCAATAACCTTTGAATTGGATTCCAGTTATGGTAAGTTAGTTGTTCTTATTATAATTCGGTATATTTGGCATTGTCTAATAATTTAGTCATCAGTGTTAAACCGTCTCAATCCATGTAGATATTACAGGTAAGCAAAAAAGGAATGTCGAATCCCTAATCTTATTTGTGGAAAGCTTTTGTGGCTATGACTTGGGCGATAGGAAAATGATATAAATCGAGCTTCAGAGGATGGGTATAATATGACACATTGGTCCGGGGATCACGATGGCTAAGTGTTCGGCTATCTTCCTTTTCTTTTCAGTTCTCACTTTTAAATGAGGCTATAAGAAACAGCATGATCCATGTTTACAATATTAAAGTTAACGTATTGTGCTGTATTTCTTTTTCTTTTCAGTTCATAATTGGAGTGAGGCTACAGTTGTGAGCTGTGGTGCGACATGATTCTTAGATAATAATTAACTTATCCAGGCCATAATCAACACTCGATGGCATCGGATTAGAACAGTTCAGCGATATTCTGATTTAAGCTAAAAATGGAGGAGCGAGACTTAGTTTCGAACGGCCAGTACGGTGGTTGAAATTATTGTACACGTCTTGTCAAACCTTCAAAGACTAATATCTTCGCTCGCAATAGAGTAATTTGAATGAAATTTTCAAATTATTCATTTTACATTATCTATTTTCGAAATATTATAACAAGAATGGCCAGCTCTTTATCTAAATATTACATAATGTATCTTTAATCCAATTTACTTTTTATGAAACGACATCGTTTTGTTTTGATGGTTATAATAGCGGTATACAAGAAATATTTTTAATTCGATAGTTATGTATAGCGGTATACAGGTCATATCTCTAATGCCATGGTTATTTATGGCGGTATACAGCATATCTGTGTAATTCGATGGTTATTATAGAGGTATACAGGAAATTTGTAATTCGATGGTTATTTATAGGGGCATACATGCCATTTTTAATTCCATGGTTATTTATAGCGATACATAAGACATATTTTTAAACTGATCGTTATTTATAGTGGTATACAGTATGGAAGACCATACAGCTCTTTATTTAGTCGGGGGGTTGGATGGCTGAATGGTTAGCGTGCGCGCGCTGTATCATAAAGTCTGTCATTGAGTCGACTGGCGTGGTTTCGAATCCCCGGTTGTACGTGACAAGGAGTAGGGTCGCCTGTCCAACCTCGTGGGTTCGTAATTCATTCTTATTTCTTATACAATTAAGTTAAACAAAAATACATATACAAATATTGACTTGAGATACAAATGTCAATTTTAGCATACAAATGTTGAAATACGACATATAGGGTATAAGTCTTTCTCCTGTATAAATTCAGTTCAAAATAATCAACGATATATGTGTATAAACCAGTGATTGTATTCCATATAATTTGTGTTGTGTTTTTTAATGACATTTTTCTTGGGTGTGGGTAAGTCAACTGCCAACTTAACAGAGTTGAAATTGGTTGGATTAGAATGTATCAGACAGCTCTGTAAGCTGTATCATATTGATAATAACCGCTTACTATTTAAGATTTTTTCATATTTATCTTGTTCTAAAAAGAAAAGGGATTAGATAAATAGTATTTATAAGTTTTAAAATCTATTAATATTATCAATATTGTCTTGGGAGGTAATGTTAATGTAAAATATTTATCCAATGTTGCAAAGTGTAAACTAAGACCACTGGATAACAGTTAAGGTGCGTTCACGCTCTATTCGAATTAAATCTAAATCCCGGCGACCGGTTTCCGGAATTAAGATTGGTTTGTCTCGGATTAAAAGCGGTGAGTTCACATTACAGCTTATTCGGATTGAATTTAAATTGAACCGCGCAACACTAAATGCATAAAACTACAGGTAGCCAACTAGCAGATGTGAAGGTCATTCACATCCAAGATGGATGCGCCCGACATTCATATTCGTGATCATGGTGATCCTGCAGATTATTTAACATTATTTCTGTTTCTAATCTCCAGCATCTTGCCTTCTAAGGCGAATGAGAGTGATTACTCTTCTGGTCGCGTTTGCTAGGCATCAACAACTAGGTATTTCGCTGTCGATTCTGTACTAGCGAAGATCCATTTCATATTTAAAATCAAATCCTTTCAGCACTATAAGCATGCATAATGCAAAGCAATATATTTTGTTGTCATTTTCATCTAGCTGTATACAGTAAACTCGGTTTAAACTCAGTTTGATCTGATTCTTGACTGTGAATATGCCGATTTGGAATAGTTGTTTCAGATTAAATTCGGAAAATATCCTGACTCCTTATTTCAGATGCATTACGGTTGTTAGCGAATTGAGTGTGATGACTAAATCAGAAATAAGACTTTATTCTGAATTCAACATACCTTGATAAATACGACAGCTGAGAATGGTTCTTTAATAATCGCTATTGAGACTGACCGATATACATAACGCCGAACTGCCCTCGTTCGTAGACTATGCAAAATCTGTGATAGCAACTAGATTGAAGATGAGTTACATTTTATACTTCAATGCCCGTGTTACAACGATATACGATAAGAATTTCTAATTGAGGAATAAAATCAAAAATGCTATAGCTTAGCTAAGCATATGGTGAGTTTAAATGTTATCAAATTCAACTGAACGTCAACTTAGAGAGTTCTTAGACCAATTAAATAGTAGACGAAACTATTAGATAGAAGCAAATGGTTACATTCAGAAATTTTTATGATTACAATATATATTTTCTATAATGGATTGTTTTATCTACTTTTTATATTATTTCCCTATAATACATGTACATACATGTGTGAAATTATATTATTAGAATAGATATTTGTATATAGTTAATTGTTTTACCTGTATTTATTGTCTTATAGTATTTAATGTGCTTGATGTTGTATAAACTCTGTAAATATTCTACAGACTGTTCCACTTTTATCAAATAATATAAAATAAAATTTTGAAAAAATCATGAATGGGTGGAAATCACTACTAAATAACATTTATTATTTCATGATTTGAGTAACAAATATACAAAAACATTGGTACGGCAGATATTGGGCGAGATGAGTCTAGCTACGGAACATCTATCCAATACGTTTAGTCCGGCAGAACTATGGCTGAACCTGGAAAATTTTTTTGAGAAATTCAAGACGGCGTCCAGGAAGGCCGCCATTTCAAATAATCCCCTATAACTTCCATAGTAATTAATCTAGAATGATAACTCTAGTGTCTAACCATATGTTTTGGGGGTCAAGGAATATACTGAAATCGTTCATTATGTTGTCGGGTGATTAGATGATAGTAAAATCAAACATGCCAGACAATATGGTCTTTTAACTCGTTAGCGGCGGTTGGGGACGATTATTTCACTAAACCAAACTATATCTAGAGACAAACTATATATTCTTGGACATAGGAGCATATGAGCGATACGCCACATACATGCCTATCGGGGGCTCCAGGGCCACATGGGTCGGCCCGGAAAAGGGAGGGACAAGCTGTTTGTTGAACATATATAAAACCAAATTCTACCCGCAAAATATGAACATAACCTCCACAAACTAGGTAATAATCAGTTTATTCCTGAACATAACCTCCACAAAACTATAGGTAATATTCAGTTTAATCCTGTAGTTGTGTTTCTGGCTTCAACCTGTGACAGCACAAGCGCAAAATACGGAGAAACACATGTCAATTATCATTGAAATCCTGCCATCCCATGCTCTTACTGGGTGTGACACGGTTACGTGCTGCTACGTCGTGGCGAAAGGAACAGCTTTGAAAGTGGTGTGAGCTTGATTACATTCTCTCGAACTCGAGTAGTAGACACTCGAATAGAATCAATGCTTACACAGGCCACATTATTTATGTCAGCTTGTTATGGACAGAGCTCTAGAAACACGCTGGAGGGTTTGGACATCTAAAACTGGAAATGTATCGTCATCATTCCCACCCAAACCCTGTAGTCTTGCTCAAGGAATGATACATTTGCAGAGAACGCAAAAAAGAGCTCATCACCAAGCTATTGTGTGACGTTCACTGGAAAAAGGTAATCCGTCGAAACATGATTCGGAACTGTATTGCTGAGTGAAAGATACTAAATTAAGAACATTACAACCGGCCAACTTGCTCCGGAATCTGTCATGTGGCTCATCAGATGTGGATGCAACAGTGACAACCCATGTAGTGCGCTTGCTTGTAGCTGCATTAGAGATGGCTTAAAATGTAGAGTTTTGCGGGAAGAATTTGATTTCTTAAATGTTCAAAGACAGTTTGTGTCGCCCTTTTCAGGGCCGGCCCATGTTACCCTGTAACACCTGATAAGCATGTATGTGGTGTTATCGTATCACTCATATGCTCCTATATCCAGAAACATATATTTTGTCTCTAGATATAGTTTGTTTTGGAAAAATAATGATCCTCAACGGCCGCTAACGCGTTAAAGGGACATATTTGGATTTTACTATTATCTAATCACCCGACAACATAATGAATGATTTCAGTGTATTCCTTGACCCCAGAAACATACGGTTAGGAACCAAAATTATCATCCTAGTATAAATACTATGGGAGCTATAGAGCATTATTTGAAATGCGCCCGTCATGGACGCCATCTTGAATTTCTCAAAACGCTAAAGAGGACACCCTAGACTACTAAAATCAATTACAAAAAAAAACTTTTGTATACAATTTCCAGTTTCACTCGAAATATTCGGTTTGGCGACCGGACTAGTTAACAAAATAATTAAAACGTGAAAGTGATATGAAAATGTAGTGGAAATTTAAATACAGGGTTTCATCGCTATCAGATGGCCTTTTGAAAGACTTACGGACTTCGAGAATAGCATTGCAGTGTGTATATTCATATAAAATGTGCACATTTTGAAAATGTTATTGGAATACAATTGCATTTAGTTTAAAATGAGATAATGTTCTAGAAACTATAAATCCAAATAGGGTGAATTAACTTATCTAAGAACACTGATTAATCGAAGTTAACTCTGGTGAATAGGAGAAGGGGCTATTTAGATCTTTTTGTCTTAAAGCTGTTAATGGATTTCAATCATATTTGGTAGCTATATTTCTGAAATAATGTTGCCTGGTCCCACGAACTGGTAAATGTAGACCTATTTTCATAAACCGAGAAAATATCAATGTAGTGAAAGACTATCCAGACCAATCGTGTGGTTGTTTATAGACCAGTAGAAATTTATTTAAATGACTATTTCAATAAACGCTATTGATAATAGTTCACAATGCCAATTTTAGTTAATGGATGTGTATATAGAATAATATAGAAATGTTCCCTTGTGTAAACTATTGGATATTAAAGATCAATGTATTTTTGTTGTATAAGCTTTAATAAACCAATAAATATCAACCTAATTTATATTGATTTTATACGCCCACATTTTCACGTGGGCGTGTATTGCCGTCGTCCCTGTCAGTCCGTTTACATTTAGCCTGTGGAAGCCTGTGCACACTCTAGAGGTCACAATTTTTATCCGATTTTGATGATGCCTAACGTATGTTTATAC